TTGATGCAACCCAACATCCTATCGGCCTTCTTGGCCGCAGCAGCACACTGTTCACTCATGTTGAGCTTCCTGTCCACCAGGACCCCCAGGTCCCTTTCCACGGAGCTGCTCTCCAGCCACGTGGATCCCAGTCTGAGCTGCACTCCTGGATTATGCTTTCCCAGGTGCAAGAATTAACCATGCACGTGAAGCACCTCAAACGCACTTTAGGCTAAAGGAGGGTGTAGTAAGGCTGCTGTCCAGAGAGGATGGCCAGCGAGGTCCCAAATGTCACCCTCATCAAACACGAACATCAAATTTCTTGCACCTCCCTTTAGCTCGAGCCTGTCCAGAGTTGGCTGAGCAGAGAAGGCAGTTGTTCTGTTGGGGTATCCAGGGCTTTACAATCACTGCTATCACAATGTTGTGGGACTCTCAAAGCCTGGTGGGATTCAAATGAGTGCCTTCCTGCTGGCTCCCAAACACAAGCCCCGCTTCCTCCTTCTGACTGACCACATGAGGGTTGCATTTCTGCAACTAACAGCGGAAACGTAGCTTTGGGGAAGGCAAGGACAGACTGAACTGGTCCTGTTTCTATTGCTTCCTCCTCCTTTTCTCCTAAATTGTATCTTGAAGGAAATACCTGATTCTTGTAGTTGCAGGCACCTTCAGGTCCTGCCCTGCAAGTGTCTGTAAATGCAGGGGTTAAGTGTCCATACCATCACAGTGCAGGGAGAGGAGGTTTTGGTCTGATACCCACCATTTTGCTGAGAGCTCCATGTTTTATCACAAATGAGGGTCTCCTGAAATCTGCAGCATCATGTGCTGGGTGATGTGGAGCCAATGGCTCCAGCCCATCCTTTCTAGCTGCCAAGAGAGCTGGTTAGCAACAGGGCCAGGGAGAAGCAAGCAAGATGTGTGCAGCAACCCGTACCTGCAGGCTGATTTTTTTTTTCTCCTTCTCTGTTTCTCAGGTGCATTCCCTGTATCGGCGCACAGGAGCCAGTTTCCAAAGGGCCCAGGAAGAGTTTTCCCAAGGCATCCTCACCAACAGGGGCTTCCAGAACGCAGCCGCTGGGGCAGCCTCCTCAGCCGCACAGAGTGCTTTCCGGGGAAACTAGCCCTTCCCAGGGCTGCCTCCCCCTCGCTTCCTCTGCCATCGTCACCCCAACCTTTTTTTTTTTTTTAAAAGATGCACTTTTCGGGGGTACCATGTTAGCTCTGTGATGCCAACTCCGGATGAGAAGAGGTCTGTTTTTTTAGCTTCAGCTGGCCTACGTTTATGACGATTAGTTTTCCCTGTTTGTTTTAGGGTGTGGGGAGAAAGGGGAGACATTCTCTGAAGCAAATATATTTCTCTATCCAGGACATACTGAGCGTTTGTCTCTCCTCCTCCCCTCACCCTGTCCGTAGCAGGAAGGCAAGGGGGGAATCAGGTTTTTGATTTTACTTTCTCTCTTCTATTGGCCTTTGCTATGAAGAATTTGATTATCTGCTGTTTTGGGGGGGTTTTGTATCTTGCATGTAGTTTGTTGTTAATTTTAAGAGCAGAAACTGTACTTTTGGTTTATTACACTTACACGATGCTGCATTTTGACCTCTTAACTGCTTGGCTTCCTGAGAGTCAGGGTGACATGGCACGAAGGAAAACCTGGGAGCACGGGTGGTTAGAGAGGAGGGGAAACATCTTTGTCTTTCCCCTTGTCCTCCCCGTGGCAGATCCCCTCTCCGCTTCCACGAGGATCCTGCAGACGATGGCCCCCGGGGCTCCTGTGCCCTTTCGCCAGCACCCGTGGCCCCAGGCACGGAGAGGGGGAGAAGGGAGCAGCGGGGGCCGAGTCTTCACCGTGGCCTTAAACCAGGGGAGGGAGGGGAAGAGGGATTTTTGTTCGGGAGCAGCGGCACTGAAGACACCAGCTCCAACACCATGCGGTGCCTGCGCTGTCCTTCTCCACCTAACCTTGAGAGCCTGCCAGCCCAGAGAGCATCAATGAGTTTTTCTCCGGGGACACTCCTCCCTGCCTTCCTCCTCCCACGTATTATTCTTGTTCAGCTGGGAAATAACTGGTTCGATGTGCGTTTGGCTTCGAGAGCTGTGTCCTGAGATGGGACGTCGCTTTGGAGGGGGCTGAGGTGCAGGGGCTGGCCTGCCGGCTGGGGCGAGGCGCGCTGGGGACGGACTCCCCCGGCCCTCTGCGGGTGCGGGTGCAGGAGGGGGTTTTACTTGCGGACTTGACTTTGTGCGGCCCCTTTCTGTCCCCTCCTGCCCAGGAGGCAGAGCCTGGGGCCTCCCAGCCTCCTCGCCCAGAAATCGTCATTTTTACACCCCCTTCCTCATGTATTATTTTCTTCCTCCGCGTCTGATCTTTTCATGTAAAAAAAAAAAACAAAAAACCAAACCAACTAATAATAAAATGTATATGT